GAGGTCCATATTGTTGCGGATCGTTCCGAGTTCTGGCCGCGATTCCGGCGGCTTGACTCCAGACGTTCGGAGAGATCACGCTGGTTGTGGCTTCCTGACATCGTGTTTGCTGTAGGTAGACTTAGTAGCTGCTTGGGAGAGTTTCTGGAAACTTTTTGCTTAGTTTCCCACAGACGGCGCCAGTGTTGAGGTTTATTCCTTCAACCCTTGGACCCAACACGTAAGCCCAAAGATTTCGAGTGGAGTGAGTGTGTGGTTATCTAGCCCAACAACTATCAGATGAATCAGGAAACAAGAGTAATAGCAGGCAATGTAAATAGGTATTATTAACTTCGTAATAACTCCCCTAAGTACAATCTACTTGCTAAAAAGGGCACGTCGGCCGTTCGTCTTACAAGGCGATAGAAATGCTACTCGTAAGAATGCTGGAGCTAGTATGCTAAGAATAGTAAGTTGCCAACCCTTTACAATGAAATAAATGTTTCTATTTATACCCGCCAATGGGCAGGTGGCTGTACTGACGTGGCAGCCTGTGGACCGCTGGTGTCCCAACTACCAAATCTTTAGCATTAAATGCACTTCCCGCCAGAATCTAGGTTTCCCGCCGGAATAGTGGGGACGTTCGTCCACCCGGGAAGTGAGTTGGATTCCTCCAAGTGACCCTTGAGGGATATTGGCTGTTCGTCTCCTGGCCTTGATGGATTCTCACCATGTGGGCTGGGTCTCCTCCGATGGCTATGGGCTTGCTCAGGAGACGTCCGTCGTCACCCCTGATGGCCCGTGGCTCCGCTCCTTGTCCCTGCTTAGACGTTCGTCGGGATGAGCCGCTGGGCCTGAGTCCTCCAACACCAGACGTTCGTCCATCCTCAAGAGACATGGGCCTGCGGGCTGGCCTGGTTCCTAGCTGGACGTTCGTCTGGCAAAATGGGTTAGTGGGCCGGACCTCGGCTTGGGCCCTTAACCCAACACATACATACATACATACATACATACATACATACATACATACATACATACATACATACATACATACATACATACATACATACATACATACATACATACATACATACATATGGGATCAAATACAAACATCTCCTAAATTATAAACTACAAACTTATCGTAGACATATGATGACTAGGTTATAAAGACACACTAACATTTTTGTAATAAAACTAAACTTTGTTTGAGATGCAACTATTTGAACCTTATTATGCAACTGTTATTTCATGACAGAATAATATGCAACGCATTAAACCTCAATATGTAATATAAAGAGTTTAAAGATGCATCTTAGAAACGTTTGCACGATAAGCCTATTTGGTACCTGATCTGCCCCCTATATATATAAGAACAAATAAGAACAATGTTTTATGTGAGAACGTGAGAACACCACATTTATCCAAATATGATGCACAATTAGGTTCGCCCATTGCACCTTTTCACGTTAAGAATACTATTTACCAATATGCCACCACAAGTATTTAATATTGACTTTTGAAAAGTTTAAAAGTGCACCAGATGACCTTCATTGTGCATCATGTTGGGTTAATTGTGAGTGTTCTCACGTTCTCACGTTAAATATTGTTCTCATTGAAACCACACCCTACACACACAGGGAGCAGTTCCTGTGAGAAAGGACTTGTAAGAGAGAAATGAGAATGAATTTAGACCGTTGGATTGTATTATATTAAACTGAGTTGTGCATATGGTGAAAGTGAAATTGAAATGGACAAAATAAAAGATAAAACTTAAATGTGCATTGGGTGAAATTGAAATGTGCATAATAAAAGTGACAAAAATGTCACCGCATCATACCTTTTATTCTGCACATTTCAATTTCAGGTAATGCGCATTACAATTTCCCTAATGCACAATTCAGCTTCACATAATGTCATCGTGTTGTACTTTTTATGTTGAACATTACAATTTCACCTCATGAACGTTTTAGTTTATCCTAATGCACATTCATTTTGCACAATATAATCTAACGGTCCAGACTCGTTCTCATTTCTTCCCAATATATAGGGAGTGATTCTAATGAGAACAAATCTTATGATGAGAAATGAGAACATATCTTAGCTTAATCACTCATCTTAATTAATGAATGGATGAATGATGTAGTGTGCACCTACAATGTTGGACATGCAAGCATGGGAGATGACATCTGTCTCCAATGAATTAGATTAGTGGAGATTATTAATTATTAGTGGGCTGCGTATGTCACTTCCCCCAAATAAGTAAGTTCAACATGAAATCAATATTAGTTACTTGAAAAACAATTAGCTAAAAATTAGGAACTCAAACTTGTCATACATATATATGAACTCGTATAAACATATATACAAGGAACCCCATACCAATTATATGAGTATATAGTGTACACGAATCAGTACCTAACGCATATTACATATACAAAGCACCATGATAAATATCCTAAACACAAAAAATAGTATATGTCACAAAACTTAACTACTATGTAATTAAAGACTTCATACAACTTAACTACACAACAATCAGTATGTAATGCATAATATATATACACCCAAGAACTATTACCTAGCATGTAATATGTATACAAAAAATCACAACAAGTATCTACTGCGCAATTAAGAATCAGTATATAACAGAGAACCGCCAATAATTTATGCATTTGAACTGACATCTTACTCATAGTTTAGATATATAGCACACAACAATTGGCATGTGATGCACACAAAATGTATAGAAAATAAATCATAAGCTAATGCACGAGTTAATAACAATAATTTATTGAATAATGATAATTTGATGCACATCATATAAATTCACACAACAATCGATATGTACCGCTCAATAAAATAAATCTTAATTTCATGCATAAGTTAATAATTAGACTTTGTGCACGTGAAATGAAGTTGAATGTAATACACATGACCTAATATTTAATGCACAAAAAGTTAAAATATGTTGTAGAATATAAACTAATATGGTCCTTTCAAAAAAATGGTGAATAATATTAATTGAATGAAACGAAAAAATAGTAATGCACTTATTGCTTTTGAAAATAATTGATCAGTTACCAAGTAAAAGTATGGAGCTCGTGAGAAAAATGCGCAATATGGAGCTTTCAAAAAGATGTTGTAGAATATAAGTGATAGAGTATTTAATTCTAGAGAGAAGTGAGAGCTAGAGAGAGAAAGTGAGTAATTAATATTTCTCAACCCTCTATAACTAGCCCCAAGGGGTCTATTTATAGGTAAAAATGTGGATTTGGGCTCCTAGCCTTGGGCTTAGGAGACCCATTACAATAATCATGCCTTCTTTGGGCGAAATAAGGTCACTAATGGGCTGAGTAAAAGGCCTAGTAAAAAAGATAGGAAAATAGATTCTGCCGGGATAACTCCCGGCCGATGCGATGCCTTTTGCACGATGCGGTCCTCTTGCCGACGCGGTGCATGGCCGAAGAGGCCCACTTGTCCTTCAGGCGGTGTTTTGAGCTGGTCCGGTTCTGGCCGTTGCGGGACCCACCAGGCCGAAGGGGGCCACATGGATGTTCTTCTAGCGTCGTTGACCTTATGAGTATGTGGGCCATGGGGTCCAAGCCCATATACTATTAATAAGATAATATATAAAGTACTCATTCTTTTCCTAAATTGGATCATACGTAATAAGTGCAATGAGGGTTGAAAATAAATGACAAAAAGGATGATATTAAAATACCATTGGCTTCTTATTAGATCATCTCAGCAATGTGTGTATTCTAGGTGGTTGAGATGTGTTCTCAATTCTTACATTAAGGTTTGTTCTTATTTGAACCAAAATACATATTTATACACATACACACAAATGTTCCTGTCAAGAATTTCTTGATCGAAACGTCGTCCGGCCACCTCAATTTGAGGTGCTTCTGGTTGATTTTTGTTGTTGATGAAATTATGTTAGCATTTTCTTCATGAAGTGTAGATTATATTAACAAAATTTCATCTCAAAATTCAATTCGGAAGTCAATTAAATAAATTATTGAAAAAACTGTGTTTTTATATGTATTTTTGGTGCAATTGTTTTCAATAATTTATTTAACTAACTTCCCGATTGAACTTTAAACTGAAATTTTGTGTACAAAATCTATAATCCAAGAAGAAAATTCTAACTAAATTTCATCAAAATATTATATCTGTAAGAACCTCACATGGAGCTGGCCCAACAGTGTTTCGGCCAGGAAATTCCTTACCGGAAGATAACTATATGTGTGTATGTGCGCGCATGTGTGTTTCACATTTTTCTTCATCTTACGCACGTCATAATTTGTTCGAGAAAACTAGGGCCACCCCCACACTGGCGTATCCAGAAACTTTGAGCGGGGTGGGTGGAGGAATTCAGACTATAACATATACGGTCAATAGTATAATACAATAATATGTCTATACAAATATAGATTATATATATAGGGTTGAGAGAGGCAACCGCCCCCTATAGATATACCCCTGGTCCCCCATCCACGAGAATATTTATAAAATTGGAGTATAACAAATTAACAACATCAAGGTACAATAGTTTTGATAATAAAACACAATGGTGGTAAATTTTTAAGTTTTTTCTTATTTCACTCATACATATTTTGAGAAAATTTCTTTCATTATTAACACTATATCACAAGCATCAGACATGTCGTTGTCAAGGACGGTGTGTGCCGTATTCGCCTATGTATTACTTATGTACATGCATGCGCGATTCCAATAATCCATTGTGATTCCAAATGAATATCGTCAATTGCACTTTTAACTTTGATCAAATCAAGCCAATATTAAATAAATGCATTGTCACTTTGATAAATATTTCGTTAATGTGAAAATGTGGACTAGGCGAGCTTCATTTGGATCGTATTGGGTCAAGTTTCTTCGCAAGCACTCTTTTTATTTGATTATCCAAAGATATACACATACATGCATACACACGTGTGCACATACACACATACGCACACACTTATATTAATGTTATTAAGTCATTAAATAATCAGGAGAAGAAGTTGATGCATAATCTTCGTCAATATGAAATCCCACTTCAACGATACATGGCCATGATGGATCTTCAGGTAATATCCCGGTCTCGCTAATTTAGGAATACTTATTGATAACATGATTGGGTACGATTTGTTAAAAATTAAACTTGTTTCTAGTTAATGTTTTGGGTCTCATTGATATGTATTTAAGTTATATTTGGAAAAGTGTAGAAGTAAGAGATTTTATAACATCTCTAGAAGGTAAGGTATCTAGAATTATCCTATCATTAACTATGTGTGATGCATTAATTATAGAATAGTTTAGATACTTTCTATCAGCGTAAATAGACATCTTCTACCACCACTCTGTATCAAGTAAAAATTGAGTAGTTCTAATAAAAGACATATCCCCTTTCGTTCAATCATATATTTCATTTTATTTCTAGTTTAGCCTCCTAGTTCCCCCAAGTACCTTCAAGTAAAAAGGAGAACTTTGACTAATAGTGCATTTGCATTTACATGGTAGATGAAGGCTTTGAGGAACCCGAGGACATCAAGACCATAAGAAAAGCTAAAAGGATACCTTGAAGAATATTAAAACGAGAGATAAAAAAACTCTTTATCATTCACCAAGCTTTGAATAAAATTATGTTCGGGAAGGTAGCATGTGCAATTGCAAGCAAGGAAGCTTCGCAGATATTAGAGAATTGATTTCAAAGGAGTAGATAATAAAGTAAAGAAAGTAAGACTCCAAAGTTTTCGAATTATGTTTGGAGCTTCAAATATGAACTCTTCGAAATCCATTGATGGTTATTTCTCAAAAGTTCAAATCTTTGTTGATCAACTAAAAAGATATGGAGAAGGAAGTAAAGAAACTCAAGTGGTTGAAAAAGTTCTCCGGTCTTTATATTCAAATTTTGACTACATAGTTGTGGCAATAGAAGAATCTACCGATCTAGAAATTTCAAGAAGATAATAAAGAGAGAGCCATTGCAACAAGCTCTTCAAACTAAACTAAACTAAACTAAGCTTTTCAAATTTCAACAAGTTCTACGGTATTTATTGCCTAAGAAATAAAGAGACTTTTCAAGAGGGAATACATCAAAGCTCAAGAGGGAGGGTGAGGGCGAAGTAAAATTTATGGAAGGGGCGGTTACAAGACTTTTAATAAAGAAGAGTGATACTCAGATTTCTGTGTCAAAAAGTTGTGGAAGATGAGGTTTTTCGAGACCAAGGAAGAATAAGAAAATTCAACATTGTTTGTGGACCATAAAAGAAGAGAAACTGAATCTGAGATGACTTGGTACATAGACACTAGAGTTAGAAACCACATGTGCGGGAAGAAGGATATGTTCGATAAGTGGAAATATTTATCTCGGAGATGAATTTAAAATTCCTGTGAAAGGAAAGGGTAAAGGCTTAATCTGATTGTAAAAGGAAAAAAATGATTTGATCTCAAATGTCTACCACGTAGCTAAAATGAAAACAAACATTTATAAGTTTGGGGCAACTTTTAGAAAAAAGTTTTAACAATCATATGAAAAAGCATACCCTATTGATCAGAGATAAAAATGGAATTTTGGTTGCTAAAGTTTTTTTTAAAGAGAAAAAGATCTTTTTTTATTGATAAAAGGGAAAACAGTACAAAGTGAAAAGGAAAGAAAAACAGTACAAAAGGAAAAACAGAGGAAACATCGAAAAAATAACTAGTCCCACGGGAAGTCTCTGGATTGAGACCTTGTTCTCATGCCATGCCGCCTTTTATTCTTTTGAGCTTTTCTATAAATTTTGATCTGCGTATTCAAGTTTTCAGTTGGCAAGCAGTTTTCCGTGGTGACAAACTTTGATTTATGGCAAATCGATCTGTTGAATTTGGAGTTTCCAATTTCATCCTTGTTTGAATAAGGAGGACGACGATCACTTTAAGTTGCATGTCCTAAAAAATCGTATGAGAAAAAAGAGTCATCAGAAGGATCAAATTTGTCTGATGCATCAGAGTAAGCCTGAAGAAGTGGAACTTGAGGTTGTTTCTCAAAAGAGATGAGTTGTTGCTTCTCGCCATAGGCTCTCTGGACTTCATAGTTAAAAATGAGTTTGGAAATGGTGATATCTTTAGTATCAGCCAATGTCTCGTACTCCCGATGCATGGCTTCCTCCTGCTCTAAATAAGATACTCCAACAAAATTAGAAAATAAAGCTAGAAAATCCTTGAGCATTGAGTTGCGCGGACCCTTCGGGATTAAAATTGAGCTACCCTTTTCTTTAGCAATCTTCACATAAGAACCTGAATTGTTGACCACCGAAGTAATCGTGATAGGCCCGAACTTTCTGCTTTGCCCGTGATTAAATTTTTCTGAGCGCGTAAGATTGTGAATATAATGATAGATCTGTGGAGCAATCTCTGCTTTGAAATTAATCCTCTTTAGAGAGGAATTTTGAATTTCAAAAATGTCTATTTCATTATTTCTGGCAGCCAGTCTAAAGAGTTTGGATTCAATTTTGATGGAGTCAAAACCCTCTTCTCCAAAAAAGTTGAATCTTTCCGAAAGCTCCCAAGAATCATCTGACGTGGCTTGAATAGGAGGAGTATTACGGCTGGTCTCATTGACCTTGGTCATTAAATGATTCTCTTTATCTTGAGAGTGTACGATGCGTCCAACAGAGGTGCTGACCTCACCTCTTCCACCGTCTCTTCTGTCCGATTCCAACCTAACAATTTCAGCCCATGTGAGGCTGCGTACAATGCCTGGCGTGTGAGTCTCCACGCCAAACTGGCCGTCCAAGGGAATCTCTGCTCCGAAAACCGCCGGCCAACTGTCTGGTCCGCCGTGAGGTGTTGGGGATGGTCGTTTATCAGAGCTAGTGATCTCTGTTCGACCATTACGCTGCGCACAAAAAACCATCGTCAAAACTGGAATAACGTGTGAGTCAGATTTATCCTTTTCGCCGGTCCCCTGTTCACTCTGCCCCGACGCTAAATACTGAGTAACGGCTTTATCCCTATCAGCCAATTCGGCCTGCGATGGAGATCTCGGGCTTTGCCTCTGGGATCCTCCAGCTTCCAGATCGATTGGAGTTCTGATTCGGGGTCGAGCGTGGCTCCCTGACCGGCGAAAATGTCTGGACGATACTGTAGCACATTTAAGGATTCCACGTGTGTCATTATCAAACAACCGTGGGCGTAGGTAAGGCCTTGTGAATGGAGGGGGTGGGTCGTGAAATCGTCTTCCTGAGCTAATAAGGAAAAACGATTGGACTTACTTGTTGAGCATCGGTTGCTCTTCGTAGTTCGTTGATTGAGATGGTGAGGGGGCCTTCAACGTCGACGTTTGTGATGGACGAAGCTCCAAGGTTCAGCAGGGGCGTGGATTTCCGATTGGAATGGACGGGTGAGTTCCGCCTTTTGATTTGGAATCGGGTGGGAGGGTTGATCCGGTCTATCCATATATGGGTACCATAGTTGACAGCAGCATTGTGCTTTTTGATAGGAGGGATGATTAGCAGGCCTTTGATCGTAACTGAGATGAGTGTTGGACGGATAACGTTGCGGACAGCGGACGTTCACTTTTTGGTGTAACTTCTCGCATAGCTCGGTGGAGAGTGGCTTATGATATTGATCAAATCGATCAAATCTACCGTCAAGGGAATGAAAATATGGATTCCGGCAGTGTGAATATTGGTGCCGGTAATCCATTTCAGAAATCAGGTGCCTGGAATTTTAGAGAGATGTGGGAGTTTCTCTCTCATTTCCTTAATTACCAGTGCTGCATTTTGGTTGCTAAAGTATGAATGTAAAAAAAATAGAATGTTTTCATCAGAAATTGAAAATGGTAGTGCTAATTAAATATTTGAAAACATGTTTTTAAAAATTCATTTTGACTTTAGCACTTGAGGTTATGACATCTTATTTTTGAAAAAGCGAGCTAAAATTTTTGAGTGACAAAAATATGGTGAAAGGTTTACTTTAGCATAGAAACGTTTTTCAAAACAGACATCAGCAAGCTAGAGCAAAAAAACGCTATAGCTTGTCCACATGTATATTTGTGGGCCCATTAATCCATGTTCTCTCGGACATTAAAATTTTGCTCTTTTGATTGATGATTTTAGTCGCAAACGTGGGACTATTTTCTAACACAAAACTTGACATTTTTGGAGCCTTCAAAATTCAGAGCTTGTAGAAAATGATAGGGAATTTAGAGGAATTTTATTTTTTGTGTAAAGAAAATAGTATTTACAGCCCCTTAACGAATATACTCCACAACAAAATGGAGATGTTGGAACAAAAAATCGGTTTCTACTTAATATGGTCTAAAGCATGATTAAAAGTAAAATACATTACAAAATATTTTCAGACCGAAGCCGTGGATTGTGAAATTGATCTCCTTCTCGAAGTATTAAGAACAAAACTCCAGAAAAAGCATGGAGTGGAAGAAGTTCCACTATTTCTCACTTGAATGTTTTTGGGAGTATCGCCTATGCTCATGTGCCGGAGGACATAATTAAGTGATAAGTTTATTTTTATTGGCTACAACGCAAGAGCAGAGGGGTACAAGTTATACAATCCAAGCAATGGAAAAGTCATGGTTAGTCGAGATATCGAGTTTCATGAAGAGAGCAATTGGCTAGTCATAAATATTTGGCTTGTTACGATGAGGAGGAGGAGTAAGAATTATCTCAAAAAGAGCCCACCAGTCCAATTCCACCGTCACCTGATAAAGAAGGATCCACAAGTGAAGACAACTTAAATGATCTAAAAATGATCTAACATTATTTTGTCTTCTTGCTGATTGTGAACCCATACATTTTGATGAAGAGGCTAATGAAAAGAATTAGAGAAAGACCATGGATGATGAAATAAAGTCCATCATAAAAATGATACTTGCGAATATGCCACCTTATCAAAAGGTGACAAAGCAATTGGTGCAAAATGAGTGTTTAAAGAACAGAAGAATGTCATGGGAAAAGTTGAAATGCATAAAGCAAGGTTGGTCGCATTATATATGATCGTTTACGGAACTGTAGCCACCAACCAAAGAGCTGACATCGACTATGAAGAGGTATTTGCTCTCGTAGCCCGCTGGAAACCGTAAGATTTTTAATTTCTTTTGCATGCTCAACATAAATGAATTTTTTATTAAATGGATGTGAAAACCACATGTTTAAATGGAAATCTTGAAAAAGAAGTATATTTAGAGCAACCACCGTGATATAAAATAAAAGGGCATGTAGATAAATTTTAAGATTGGAAAACGCACTTTATGATTTGAAGCAAGCCCCAAGAGCTTGGAATACTTGAATTGATAAGAACTTCCAGGTGAATAAATTTATAAAGTGTCTCCATGAACATGCTCTTTATGTTAAAAGGAAAAAATGGAGATATCGTGATTGTTTGCCTTAATATTGATGATTTAATATTACTAAGAAACAGTCGCAATTCATTTGTTAATTTGAAGAAGGCAATGGGTCAAGAATGCGAAATGATCGAAATGGGATTAATGTCTTATTATTTGGGAATTGAGGTGAACAAAGTTGTTGGGTTAATAGGCCCGAAATAGGAGTGGCCCATTATCCCTTAGCAAGAGAACCAACAAGGACCAACTTGGGAACAATCCAGCAAGGTGGGCCTGTCCGACGCTCGTCCTATTTACGGAGACGCTCGGCGCGTATCTCCTTGTCCAAATGGCATCAGCTGACGAACCAAGAGCCTTCGAGAGGGTGTCAGGCATGGATCGATCAGTGGGCCTGGCCTTAAGCTTACTGTGGCCCAAGTCTGGAGATAAGGGGGGCGCTCGTCTAGAGCCCTTGGCGAGAAATCAATATATTGGCGGGAAGCTAACCAGGTCACTCACAGTCCTTCACATCATCACTATCACCTACCCCTTGGTAGTATAAATATATAGTATGATTTATTTCATAGTTAGGGTTGACAATGTGTAGTCTCTAA